AAGCAACCAAATCTAGTTTTTGTAAAAACTCCAGAAAATCATTTAACTTAATAAAAAAAGTCTCCTAAACTGTTTCTCAAACAATCACCAAACACACCCAAAAGATGTGAAACCTCTTCCAAGTGATTCAGGAAGAGTGACAGATTTCTGTAGTGCCAATATTAATCATAAGGGTAATCTCCTCCAACTTTGGCTGCACAGATCCCCAGTAGTGGGAAGCCCATATACATATAGAAACATAGATGAAGTAAAAATAGGCAGTTCAGATTGCTGTTTGAAGCCTGACTCTCAAACAAGCAAAAGATGCAATAAAAACAGCCCTCAAGCCCCAAAATAACACAATTTTGCGGAAACCATGAATAGGTATCCTTGGTGTGCATTGTATGGCCTCTGCTGCACCCTTTGAAATATTACTCCCCATATATTTGTTCACAAAGCAGTAGCATTGCTTCTTCACAAGGAAAAGCAGCAGTCAGTTCTGTGATTTTTGGTGGAGTTTACTTATGAACTCAATGTCCTTAAGAAAATGTAAATCTGTTAACCATAATGAAGATAGTTTCTGACTAAAGCCAGAACAAATTAGTTATACTTGAAAACTTTTTGTTTTCCTGCCTTGAACACCCTGCGGCAGCTAGCTCATGACCCAAACTGGGACTCTTTCAATCAAGTTTCAAAGAAGAATCTACAACCTAGCAAATATAATTCAGGGATAAGACCCTGAGGCCAATGACCAATTTGTTATATAAAGTAATATCTACCTATCAACAATGTCTTTTTTAATGGATCATTCTGTAAAAGCACATAACAACCACAGAAGGAAAAAAAAAAAAAAGAACAAGCCCTGCATGAAAAAAAAAACACAAGCAACTGATACTGTCTTTCATGACTTACAGAAAAATCACTCCTGAGAACAAATTCATTTCACTCCCAAGATAGGACCAAAATGGAATGGATGTGAAAAAGCATGTTGTCAAATGTTGACAAGAATGTATACACCAACCTGAAAGACATGATTTTGACAAGACTGGTAGATCACTACTTCTTATCCAACCATGTATTACTGCCCTTTCCTCAAATAATTCTCAGTGCCCTATTTATCAAGGAAAAAAAAAAAAAGTGCAAGTTTAACCAGCACCACACACTGTAGTGCAACTACAACCAACTTCAGGAAAACAGAATAGCATAGTCTATTCCCTTTAATTGATAAATACACCCCTGTCCCACAAAACATGAGTGTATGTATCATCATACACTGCATGCACCTACCAGCTCTTCTGTTATGCCCACCCAGACAACTCCCAGAAGAGAACAAGTTTGTTAATCAATGAACTGAGAGGGATGTTAGAAGGCTCTACGATTCTGGGAAATTTAATGTAGCTCAAAAGAGCCCTTTGAGGGTCAGGAAGGAAAGGATTTAATAGTTTTCAGAGGAGTGACATATTGGCCTGATGCTTCTGTGAAATGTGCTTGGAAGAAAAAAATTTCCATCACACTTCAACAAATGTAAATGTTTAAACTGTGAACTTAGTCTTCAGTTGTCTTCAAACCTGTTACCATACGTCTTTCCTTTTTGAGTGTACTTAACATTAAAATAACATGCTTGCACTCCTCAAATAACGCATCTGCTGTTCCCTACTTTTGCTACTTTAAAAGCTTGTCAGCTGCTATGCAGTTCAATTTTCAGCATAAAATTAGCAATTAATGTTTATTATTTTTTTGCCTAATTAGACTAATTACAGGCACTATACTCATCTTTAAGTGCCTCAACACTTGAAATAATGAGAGAACCCCAAACAACTAGGATTAAGAAAACAGTATCACAAGTATTTCATTAAGAAACCTCCCTCTGTCTCCTGATTCTCTGAGAATCTACTTTTGACTAATCATGAAGTAGAAACAGATAGAAGTGTTGTTTCAAGATTTCGTACCATTCAAAAGACCACTATGATATAGATTCTTCGTAACAAGCAGATAAAAAGACAGGAAAGAGTCATGGAAAGGAGTTTGTAAATAAGGCTCCTCAGGTAATCGCACATATGACTGTACTATATATATTACACAAGATATACAAGCCCAATATGAACCAATGCAACACAACAACCATTACCTTGCATCACCTTGAATACACCTTCAGACTCTAATGCACACCTCTGGGACTGCTTATACATTCAGGGTAGGCAATCATCGTATTAATGTAAATAAAATTCAAGGAAAACCCAAGCAGCTAAGACCTCAAGCCTCCCTCATAGCTAAGTACTCTGGTAATTTAGGATGTATCGTGGCTCCTTCCTGCCTACTCTCTTTGCATTCAGGGCAGCATGTCCCTGCTTCTGTTTCAAGAGGAGAAAGGGATCATTTCACCCAGTCTCCCACATAGTTTGATGGTTAGGACTCTGAGCTGCTGTTAAGCTGGAGAAGAACTGAATTTCACATTTCTACTACAGGGACAAGTTGTCTAATGAAAGGTGGGGGAAAAACAGCGTAACTTTAGATTAATTCAAATGCAGTAGGACTTGACTGCATTTGATTTGACTTAACTATTCAGATTTTTTGGTGCTGGCACCTTACTCCCACCCATCTCACCAGAGCAGGGTATTCATAATCTTTTCAGTAATCTTAATCTGTTCAGTAATCTTTTGTCTAGAGATCTGTTTGTCCCTGGATCAAAGTCAAAGCACTCAGATTTCAGTAGTCTTCAGAGATCAGCTAGCATTTAAAAGTACATTGATGGTACTGCTCTGAAAAACACAGGTAACTTGTCTATAAGTAGAGTGGTTACAACCTAGCATTTTAAGCTTACAAAAAGTTTGAAATGATAGTGCTATAGGTATTCAGCAAATATCTTGCATTTTGATTATTTCTGGAAAACACTAATACATACCTATTTCACTTTTAGAGGTTTCTTAGATTTTCACGAATAGCTTTTCCTATACCCCTTAAGGTCTCAGAGCAGATTGCATATTTACGCTGCCAATATAACGAACAAAGGAAGAACAATCAACTCTTTATTAAAAAAAAAAGCTATACCTTGCTGCTAACAGCATAATGTGATGTCTGCTCACTCCTTCCACTCCTTTAGATAATGATGGGACAGAAGTCTTTGGCTCTGAGGAATTTCTTTCTACTTACTGACCTGCAGGTGCACGGGGCAAAATCACTATCTGATTGGCCGTGTGTGTTGAGCAACTTTCTAGCTTTATAGTGCAGGAAGGTTAAAGCTAATATAAAATACGAAGGTATGCTTGCTATATGCCTCAAATATTGAACATGAATTCTAGGAATGCATCAGATTTTAGAAGTTTAAAAACTGACAGGCAACATATTTACTAATTGACTACAACAGAAGAATGCTGGAAAGTATCCACTTCTCAGCATGACTTACAGTGTATTCTATGACTTCCTTGCAACCTCTGGCATTTTACAAAGATGTAGTATTATAAACTTCTGAAAATTTAGATTCTTTTCAAAGAAAAGTAAAACAAAAAGAACATAGAGCTGTGAACAGGGCAGGACAGCACTCAATGCAGCAATGCAATTACAGCATACAGAGGTATGCAGATAAGAATAACAATAGAAGTAATAAGAAATAATATAAATCACAAGCCCTATGTTTTACTTTAATATTTTCCAAGTACGGAGATTTATTATGCTGCAAAGCTACCGAAGTATCATTTTGCATATGACTGAGATAATGGATTCATTCTAACAGAAATAGAGAGAATACCAAGAAAAGTCTTGTACTATCTAGCTTACTGAGATTGCAGACATAACTGCAAGATAAAACATAAAACATGATGATATTTGAAGTGCTTACAAAAGCCAATAAAATACCATAGGTGTTTCAGTATATCTAAAAATTAGCAAGCCTTAGGGGAACACAAGAGGATCTCTTCCCAGTCTGCTAGGAAGTATGGTGAGATTGTACTGTTTACAGAAGTTGCAGAATAATAGAATCAACAATACACTAAGCATTTGTGTTTTGTATTTTATATATATGCACATATATGTTGTCAACCATTTCAAGAGCACCAGATATAGCGCGCACAAACAGATCGTAAACTTGAGGTTTTGCTGATAAATCCTTGCAAAAATAACCCAGTTACATGAAGGAATCAATCCAAATTTATACTATTGACCAGATGTGTCTGTCTGGCTGTCAGTATCAATTGCAGAGAGCACACAAGGAATCTCAATCATATTCTTGACTTCTCTGGGAACCAGAAGCAACCTGACTAAAAACAAGACTCTAAAAGCAAGCGCTAAAAAAAGGACTCTAAAAGACCGTCTAGATACACATATAGCTGTATCTCACCTTGGATTCTTCAGCAATTGCTGCCCCATTAGATTTTTATAATAAAATTAAAAAAAAAAAAAACAACCTTACAAAAGTACAAAATCCAAATGTATTTTAAGTTATACTTAACATGAAGAACAAACACAAAGAACTATTTCTTTCTTAAACAACAAGAGAAATCTACCAAACGTGCTTCTTCCCTGTTCACTTGTTTAGTTATCCATCAGCCAACTTCAGATGACTGGTTATTATACAGGCAAAAGAGGAGATTCTCTGTCATGATGTATTTTACAGAACAGATTCCATACAAGATGCATAAAGTTATCTGTAGGATGGGATAAATCTATCCTAGCTAATGGTAAAGTCCTGTTTATCCTTCTTAGAATACTGCATAAAAACAGAAGACAGAAAAAAATACTCTAAAACATGCAAAAGGGAGAAAATTATCTAAACAAAAAATCTGTAGAAAAAGACAAAATAAGATCAACTGTCCAGCTCTAGCCTCCCTTCCAAAATGAAATCCTTAATTACTATTTAACGAGCCTTTAATAAAAAGCAGACTTGTATTAAATGGGCAGGGGGGAACACTCTTGGAAAAAAGCCAGACCAATCTCCAAATCCACCCCCTCTTCAAATAAATGAGATGAGAATCTAAGAAAAATAAATATGAGAGAAAGCATAGAAAGCAAACATGACATTCACTCACATAAAATTTTCTGGATATTCACTCAAGGCCATATCAATGATATTCAAAGCATCATGATAGTGTTTCTGGGCTGATAGCAAGAGTGCAAGGAGATGAAGAGAGTTGGCATCATCTCCTTGTAGCTGCAGAGCCTGACGAACATAACCCAAAGCTTCTGGTATCTGATTAAAAAAAAAGGCAGAAAAAGAAAGTACCACTATTAGAAGTATTGCCTATTACTTGATTGCATGTCCATAAAATTTTCAAAATATTCACCTGGATACCATGAAGAATTCTATAGATTCTGTAAGACACTACTGAGAAGTTTAAAATGGACCTGATGCTCTACAGTGAACGGTAAAAATTAAATAATATATTAGTCCTGGAAAATAAGATACAAGTTTTATTAAAACAGTTCCCTTCAGCACTTTAAAATATTCACTTACTATTCTTTTTCAAGTATTGGTTGTATTCCTATATGATTTTAAAATACTTTAATTGTAACACATTAACTAAAATGTATAGCTAGACTGCAACAGTAACTTTTCTTCACATGGAATTTCATCATCTCTTCTGCTGCATGTGCTTTTGCTCAAAATAAGTACACTAAGTGCTAAACCCAGGAAATTTAATTAAGCAACATGAGAAGTTTGGAATTCAGAATTACAGATTCATAGCCTGATACTGAAAAATATTTTGTGCAATTAAAGTGACAATCCATTCCACTCTAATGTGACATAGTCCAATGTCTCTGCTACTCATTAGCAATGAAAAGTAGTCACTTAGAGCATGTAAACTACTGTGCTCAAAACTACTTCCTAAAATAAACATCACACAGGAAAAGGCTTACCATGACATATACAAAGCTGCTCCACAATATCCAAATTCATGTGATATATGGTAGAATCCTAAATCCCTTAAGCATAACAGCTGTACAAGTTGGACTGAGCTCTGATCTCTTTTATAGCTTTAAAATATTTTCCAGTTTTCTTACACACATTTTTGTAATTTTGTTCACAATAACCAAACCTCCTACAAGTATCCAGAAAAGGCATGGATCTTAGCAGATACGCAAGATTTAAGCACTGTCAAGATCATTAAAGACTAGATTCAAGAGTCCCACTCTCCAGATAACCAGTCTGAGCAGAGATTACACGTAATAGGCAAAAACAAGGTGAAAATTGACTTTTTTTCCTCTCCATCCAGCAACATAAATGCTGAAACAAATAAATTGAATGACATATCTTATTTCTAAACCTAGCGCTGGAAATATTGGGGTAGAACTCTGGAGAAGTGCACAAGACTGAAGGTGTTCAGAGTTAATATGTCGGGGTTTTTTTCCATAGATATGCATACATGCACAAGGAAAACCAGGTTTTTATTGAAGAAATCTTCATATGTATCCATCAACAGATACAAATTCTAATCTTCATATGACAGTGTGAGGCTGCACTTTTAAAACACAACTAACCTGTCTGGATATGGCGAGCTGCAGTGCCAAGTAAAATGCTGCCAGATGATCTGTTGGAGACAAACTGTGAGCCCTTAAAAACAAAGAAACAAAACAAAAAACTAGTGAATTTTTCCCCTGTTAATACAGGTTAGACATACACACAAATGCATATATATTCATGTACCCATATTCAGATCTCTTTACTACACGTATGCTCATATTTTGATACAAGCAGTGTTCATTCCAGTGACTTCTCTGTCACTTTTAATAGAAAACAATAACGTCATTTTTAAAAGAAATTATGTAATTTCAGTATAAATCTTAAAAATGAGCAATACAAAATGATTCTTCAATTAAAATATACTCCTAAACAAACACTACATGTAATTATCTAAGAAAAGGAAAAAAACCCTACACCAAACAAAAATCCCCCCAAAACAACATGCCTTCAAAGACAAGGATTATGTCATCTGCACGAGAGGTACCCAAGCAATTGCACTGACCCTGACCAGGATGGTTCTGAAGCACAGAACTCAAAGAGGATGAGTAGCAGCAAAGTAGATCAGAGTTTTGTTCATTTTTCAGACTCCCAAAGTTTAAGCACATTTTCAGTCCAGGATACTAAGCCTCCTAGGAAGGCAGCTACTTCTTGGCTTTGAGTTGCTTTGAGATTAAGTTAGTACAGCACCTTGCTATGTAGCAATGTAAAAGAAATCTAGGCTGGACAGCTTCTTCATCATAGCGTTATAGTGAAAGGCAGCATAACATCTGACTCATCATGACCCTCTGACTTCTCAAGTCCAAAGAGACTCCATTAATTTAGCAACTACACCTAACACATATCAAAGTAGTTTAAGTTATTAGGAGACAGTTTCATATTTTGTTAAATTTATCTGTAAATTGGAGATTGGAGTCAAATATAAAGCCTAAGAGGGTCCAGGACCAGCCCTTTTTAAAATTTAAGTTCACAAATCAAGCAAGACTAAGTGAGAACAAGAGATTTTAACTTAGAGAGTACTTGTTCAGCCACCCAAGCTTCAGCTAGTGAAAGAATAAAGTTGTTACTATCTATCAACTGTTTGGCGAGTTCTGTGAAACTTCAATTCACACCAACCACAGGAAAAGCACTGAAAGTCTTCCAAAAAAAAAATGTTAGTGAAACAAACACCCTCTCAGCACTGTGCAAAGACGGCAACAAGCACCTTCTCAAACGGCCACGATCACAAACTGGCAGCCTTGAAATCTGGCATAGGCAAGGGTCCAAAACATAACTGTATTTCTTCAGGACCTCTACTTTTTCAGGAATTGGTCCTCTAGAGAAGTGATTAAAAAACCCACAAAAAAACAAAACAAAAAAACTTGGCAGATCAAAATAGTGAGCCCAGTACAGCTGCTTGTTTTATAAACCGTGTAGGAGATGAATGGAGAATTTCAACTTCCACCTCCTGGAAAACATTTATTTTTAAGATGTGGGAATAGAAAATGGGCATGACTCTGGTATGCTGAGCATAGCATACGCTCCGTGGTAACAAATTTTCGGTAAAATCCTATACCTAAGTTATCAACACAAGGAACCAGCAACATTTTCAACTGCATTGAAGTGTATTTCCAGTACAGCTGATATATCAGGTGTGAGTCTCTCTAAGAACACAAGTGGGGAAACATGTTAATATGCAGAACAATCACCTTTCAAAACATACTTTTTCCCTTCTCTTAGAAGGTAGCTATGGGATTTTTTATATGCAGAAACTCTGTTCTTTTCAAGGGCCAAATCATTCTGTTCAAGATTCTGTGTGGAGTCCAAGCTACTCATATCAGCAATATCACTAACAGCAATATTAGCAATTCACTAGAGTTTTCAAAACATATACCCTGCACGTTACTAAAACCTCCGAAAGATACTTTAATTAAAAGCCTATGTACAAGTTCGTTCTGAGAAAGGCCAGCAGAAAGGACGAACGTAAAACTTAACATCAATACCTTGGAACATGCCCTTAAAAATACAAAACATTGTTTCTAGGAGGTTGTATCAACTGCAAAAAGAAAAGAACAAAGAAAACCCCAAAGCATCAGAAAGTTGCATAGAAATCACATGCAATTAATCCTCACGTTCCCAAGACCTTCTGTGTATAAATTTATATTCTGCTAGTTAGCACAAATATTTCAAAGCTCCGTATCACTACAAAACTGAAGTTCCACTCAACATATATATAGCTAAAGGACATGTGTAAGGGTTCACTGAAAAGATGCTAGATATGTTTTCAAATTTCAACTGGCACTGTTCACTCCTAGGAAGTCTTCGAAACTGAACAGTTAAGAAGGTATCAAGAAGCTTATTATGCAAATGTAGAGAATGAAACAGGAAAGTTCCTGGGTGAAAGACAACATAACACAACCAAGCAACAATATCTGAATAGAGAGTGTGAAAGAGTAATTTCACAGTAATAAGAAGCTGAATATCGTTTGAAAAATAGTTCTCCTAATCTACTGAGTATTGCTTATTGTCTTTTAACTCAAACGACTTATTCTTTTTCTAGAGCAACCTAATAAAATATTATCACAATAAGCAATATGCTACCTATAAAAGCATCCTCATATTTACGGGTGGTCAAAATGCTGCACAACCTCAAACCTCAGAAAATGGAAATTTTCCAGACAGATCGATAGCAGCGAACAACTCTCAGAATTCTGGGAATCGCTATACTAAACTGGAGGATAGAGTCAGCAGGCACTGAACTGGAATGGACTAGCTTCAGGCTATGGTTCATTTCATCCCTTGCTGTTTCAAAGAATCAACAGAAGAAAGCAAATCACTATTAGAATCTCAAAAGTAGTGAATGGGTAGAAATGGTTAGCACAGTATTTTTGAAACAGTCATGATAAGTCAGTGTTAAGAGGGAAGGGTGAAAAACTGAGGTATAAACCAGGAGGTAGAAAGTTCAGTTTCAACATGGAGAAAGAATGCTGATGTAATAAAAACTATTAAAACATTAAGGAACCGGAAGAGCAAAGATACGTTAAAACATATTTACATACAGAGGAATAGTTAAGACAGAAAAAGGAAAGACCAATACATACCAGCCTCACTCTAAAGTTACCTGCAAAACACTTTTTCAACCCTAACCCCTCAGATACAAAATCACCAACAAAAATACCAGACTTTGCATTCACATTAATGCACAAATCAGCTTCCCTGAAGCATTCAGGCCTATGTCTCCAAAGTAGGGTTTTCAAGAGTATATAAACAAAAAAGAGACATATTTAGACATTGCAGCACTTCTGCCAGCTCTGCCATCAAGATTTGTTTCTTCTGTAATAAAGGTAGAGATGTTCTTATTCACCTGTTTATTGTCATTTCATTTGCAGAGTCAAACCCTTGAGAATGAACTACTGTCGTCCCCAACAGTGCTACTTCTGTGTAAGGCACTTGGAAGACAGGGCATTTGTGTTGTCACTGCCTGTTAAATCTCCAGATAGAATTTTTTCTTCTTCCCCCTAGCTTACTACCTTACTACTTGCATTTCACCCCTCATCCACAGCAGCAGGGCCTCAGTTACCGCAGTGCCTCTACAGAGATAATTGCAAAAGCCTCCTATATAATCTGATCAGCAACCAACTCTTCTAGAAACACCATCACATTAAACCATGACTTAAAACCTTGCATCATACCATTTTCCCTTCTAGATCAGAACAGAATTCTCCTTTGAGCAAATAATTTATACTAGAGAGCCACAGAAATATCTTTAAAACGAAATAAAAGGAAATGCTTAGAAATCAGTTTAGATATTTCTGACAGAAAATGATGAAGTACATGCTAAAGAAATACATTCTGTACTCATGAAGGCAGACTCCCAGATGTGAAATCCTCATTACACAATCTTTTACAGGTCCCTCTTTCTAACACATAATAAAGCTTTTCACTACATACAGCAGAATGAAATGAAAACATTAACACCCACTCACCTCTGAAATGCAAGAAGAGCCTTTCTCTGCAAGACCTCTTGCATCCCTCGCAAAGATGCTGAAAAGGATATATTTAATCAGAGATACGCAAGATCAAGAGATTTCATTCCACATGCTCATTGAAGAAGTTTTAATACATTGACTGAAAAAAAACGATTGCACACAGAAGCTTTAATTTTAAGTCTAGCATTCTGCTAGGTATCCTTTTTCAGGCAACATGGGAATTTCCAAATGTGAATATTTACTCTTATCTTACCATCAGTAGCCTGCAGACTGTAAGTCAATCCCAGTGCCAAGTAGCCTTTTGCTTTGAACTCCGATGTTTTGTCCCCAAGATCAACAACTGTTTTGGCAAATCTTTCAGCTTCTTCCAACTGAAAATATTATAAAACATCCATGTAAGTCTAAAACTAGCTAAAGCTTACATTATAATGAGACGAACGCACAGCATGTGTATTATGCACACTGAGTCTGTTGAAATCTCAGCCATGACTGCTTTTAAGGACTATTCCGTTTTCCATTAGACTTAGTTTTCCTGCTAAATACTGAGTAAAGAACACAGATATAAGCTGAAGCACCCACTCCTATGGTTAAGAGAAACTCTGGCACATAATACACAGATCATTCTAAACTTACTGTGGTTTTGCCATTTTTCTTTTGACTTTTTTTTTTTTTTTAAATAAAAAGGCATTTCTGGTCCATATATTCCATCTACCATTTTTGCATTTCATAAATAGAATTCTTGCCCCATGAACCATTTCTTTAGGAAAATCAATTACAACAACTATGGCTCCAACCCTGCAAAAAAAAACATAGCCATGCAGAACTCTGCATCACATATAGTAGAGCTGAATGTATGTGAACTCGTAAATAAAGAAACATATAAAAGATCAGGGTTTAACTGCACACTCATGCTAGCACACTATTTAACAATCTAGAAATAAAAAAAACCATTTGAACCCATTCCAGTAAATGTAAATGCTAAGTACAGTAAGCTACTCCATATAGAGCCAATCCATAGGGAACAATTTACAGAACTAGGATCTACGTTAATTATTAAGACTGTATTTTTGTCAGACTCAACAAGTCATGTTTCTGCTACTGCACTATTTTGTCAATTTCTGATTGTGACCTTTCCCTCCTCTTTTCCTCCTAAAAATTACACGTGTATCTTGAAAACCACACAATGTTCTTTGATCACCTTAATGGTTTTTGTACAGATACACCAATTTCAAGGTTATCTAAAATACAACTCCATTAACATTTTTTAAAAAGACATTGTCCCTACTAGGAATTCATAAACATGGTATCACTCAAAGAGTCTCTTGAGTATAAAAGATTTGTCTCATTATCTTCCAAAAAAAGTTATTTTGCTCTTGCACAGAGGAAAGAGAAGTCTAAGTTGCATTTTTAATCCCTGTGTGCCAACGTTTCAATTTCTAATACATCTTTAGCTATATCTTAGATGAGTATCAAGAATGCTACCTTGATAAACATAACCATTGCTGTCAAATATTTTAAATCAGCCATGCAAACAGAGATGCACATGTGCATATATGTATCTGTGCTGTATTTTCAGAGATGACCAAATGCATGCAATCACTGTGCAAAAGTATTGCTACATCCCTAAACCAAGATTTTGTTGCCTTTTAGCACAGCTTTTGCTGAAAAGTCAAAGAATGGCAAAGCTTACCCAGTGGAGAGATCCCATACAGAGCTTTGCAGCAAGGAGTGGAATAGTTGCATCATCTGGTTTCAAACGTATACATTCCTTCAAGACTTTAACAGCTCGAGCAGACTGTTAAAAACATTTTCCGTTGAAATTACTAAAAGCATAAATATGTTTCACAGATAGAAGATTCCTATTTCCATCATTTACTTTATTCCCATGTGAAGGAGACATTACTAAACATTTTGTTGACAATTTGTCACAAATGCAAGTGAAACACAAGACTTTAGGCACTGCTGTCATTATTTAACGCCTATGAACTATCATTAAGCGTCCCCAGTGAAACATGTGCCCAGAATGTAATTCCAATGGTACCTGATTCAGAAAACAGTTTTGAGATGCATTTAAAACTTTGCTAGGCCTGTAAGCTCACAACATTTGAGCCAGGCAAATGAAAGAGCAGGAACAGGACAGAGTCTTCACAAAAAGCAGTGTTTTAGTGCTCTTTGAGCGTTACAACAGCACTTAGGAATAGCTCTGATACAAGATTATATAACAGAGTGGCACTGCTCCTCTTTTTTTAATTCACTTGCCTCTACCCAATCACAGTTTAGAAGATACTCTAAATAAACAGAGAATGGGAAGAAGAATCAAGCCCCTTCAGAATGAATGTGCTTCTAAAAATATTTTTTAAAGAAAATACAAATAATTCCTTTTCTGATCTTTTAGAAAATTAGTATTATTTATATTACATAATGAATGGGATTTATTTTCCATAACATGAGAGGGAAAACCCGAAAATAGAAGATAGCATCTGATAACATAAGTTCCTAGGTTATATAAAATTAAAAAAAAAA